TTTTTCTGATAAGGTTCATTTTCTAAATATGATTACCTAGCTCCCCAATCTGCTGAAGCACCAACATTCACTTCTTACCCTCTGGGCTGACCTAACACGTTTACATCTCCTCGAGGGATTAGATAGCTTTTGAAAAAAGTTGCTAAGAACAACAATTTGTGAATCCGATAGCTTTGTGGGAACAGAGCGGAGCCGGGGCAGGATTTAACGTCTGCTGCACTTAGAGGCAGAACGACACGTATAAGCAGCGATTCTGACATCAGCTATGCCTAAGGGACAACTGGATGATGCTGAGGGAGGATGTTTGTGAGATAGCAGCAAGGTGAGGCTGGCAGAGTGTGACTTGAAGAAATTAAGAGTTGTTTAATTAACTTTTTCACTACGCCTCAGTGCACCAGTCTGGCAGCTTCAGAGAGGAGGAGAAGGCAAACTGAGCGACTTAAGAAAGCTTTATAATCCAGAGGTGAGCAAAAACACAGAAGAGATAATTATTTTTGGTCTGCGTCTATTTTTTGGGAGCTAATTAAAGCCATTTCAGTTTTCTAGTCCTTCATAACATTTTACAGTTCAAAATAGCTGTCAATGCTTGCGTCACGGATGAAAAAGTCTGATGCGCTGGATGCGAATTTCACCCTTGAAGGGATTCATCACAGAGGAAGAAAGGAAATAAGAACGTCTAACCAGGTATGATGATTCACAAAAATCAACCGATATTTTCCGAGAACACTTTATATACAAACCCAATGGGGACCATCATCCGTAAGTCTCACTGAATTATTTATGAAACAAAAAACATCATTTACATAAGCACTCAAACAAGTAAAAAGGGCAATAACTCTGTTGTCTACCATTTTCAAGTTAAAACTATTTTACTTGTTTTTCCTCCAGTACGAATGCATTTATTTTACAGCTTTTTCTATGCGTTTGAGGTTGTTATAACCTGTGAACAACTCAGTTTTGGTTAGCACTATGATGAATGCAGACTGTTATTGCACAGTGAGAAATGCCAGTCATATGGACAAGGTTTTGACAGCTTCCTCCATCACCGTCTTGCTCCCATTAACCCTTTGTACATCTGAGCAGCTGCACCCCTCACTCAGGCTACACTGCTCGTCCTGCCACTGCTGTGGCCCGGCGGGACGTCTAATTGGAGCAGATTGAGCTGCTGTCCTGTAACATATGGCTCACAGCCCTGACAGTGCAAAACAAAGGAGGGAGACCCACGTAGGTCATGGCCCCATCACAGACTCACCAGCTGGGTTAAACAGCCACACAGGGACGCAGACACACACAGCTTCTAAACTCCATCCTTTAGCTGGAGGTTTAATCTAAAACATGAGGTCACCATGGGGCTCTGAACCTTTCTGCAGGCTGGACAACAGTTAAACACAAGGGAACCACGTTAACCTGTCATTTATGAATCACAATGAACCAGTTTCAGACTCAAGATTTGTTTTATTTGAGATCTCATTTTCACAAAATATTTGCTGTTTTCTGCTGATTGCTAACACATTTTCACTAATGTAAGAAATTCAAAGGTAAGACATGAACATCTGGTTGCCTGGTCGATATGACCCAAATTAAATCAAAAATTCATTTTTTTTCAGTTGGAAATTGAGAGATGAGATATCAAACCAAGACAAACAAAACAACACTTCTTAGTAAGAATCCAATTCTAAATCAAATCCAGATATGTGAAACCAGACAGGGAACTTTTGGTCTTTCAAAATACCAAAAGTTGCAAGATAGTTAAATTGTGGTTATGCTTACTGTCTATGACAAGCTAAAAGTCTGTACACTAAAACTCAAGAGGTGAAATAGATAACAACTTCGGATATTGTGAGAAAGATGTGGGCAAAATGCAACTGACCATGCGATGAATACTGTTGGTGGTGAGGGTCTTTTTGGTGTGTAAATGTTTAAAAAGTCACTTAAAACTAGCTAACAAATATTCCTGCTTGGATGCTTTGTGTTCCACAAATGTCAACTTTTTTTTAGTATGATGCATTATCAAATAAATCCCTGGGGCGTGAACTGTAGCTGAGCTCTGTTTCTCACAGTGAAAAACACTGAATATCACACAGTGTCTACTCTCATTGCATCTGTGTGGTGAAATCACTCATAATGTAAATGCAGTTGCTTCATAAAATACTGCTAACTTATAGATTTCTCTCTATTTTGCTTCCAGCTTGGGAGGAGGTGTTCGTGTCAGGTTTTTGTCATAAATTCATCTTTCATCCAGAGATTTGTCTACCTGGGAGTGTGAGGTGAGAAAAAGGTGTAGTTAGAAATAGGTATAAGCTGTCAAGTCCTGCGATTCAGTTTCTTCTGAAGGGAAAAAGGCTTGAAAATAGAGGAGGAGTAATGGCAAACTCCACTTATCACAAACCTTTGGCAGGCCCCTCATGTCTTGGCTGCAGGAACTTTTCAGCAGATGTCGGCTGCCTATATTCAGCATGGCTGTAACAATTACCCTGCCCCTGCTTTGGTACAATTTGCAATTAAATCAAGAAAAAATACAGTCATCCGTTACCCAACACAGCAAGTATAATTTAAAAATCAATGCTCATTCATTGAGTTGACCCCAAATGTAGTGGCCCGATTCCCTTGATTATATTTCAAAACAGACACAGTGAGAACATTTCCTTTGGCTTTCCATGTTTAGAAAAATGTGTGACTTTTTGAAGCAGACAATAACGAGGATGCACTTCACAGTGACTGGTCATGGTTGTGAGAGTAAAACGTTTTTTTACAAAAGTTCTCTTTTACATTTGTTCACACTGAATCAGACTGAAATGGACCTCTTCCTAGTTTTAGGTGACAATAAAAACACATTTGAATGGTTTTCTGAAAATACAACCACGACATAACATTCTAACAAGCCTTTTGCTCATGCGTTTTTATTATCAGCCTGTTATACATATCAGATTGCTCCACAATGCTGCATTTATGGGTTTTGATAGTGTTGAGATAACAAACCACTGACCTTCCTATTGTAAAGCGTTCATCTAAGTCCTGCACCCCCATCTTCATTACTGTTTCGCGGTGTGCCTTAAAAGCCTATGTTTTAATGTACTTAAAAATAAAATAGTTAATACGTCAAACTTGTTAGACCTTGAATAATTATAAGGGTAAGAGGACCGTGAGTTGAGATTGTTTTGTTCATGCTTCACTTGAGATGTTTTAGCCGAATGTTTCCCATGTCTGACGGCCATCTATCTTTCAAAAAGCAGGGGTGAATGGAGGTACTGAGCAGAGGAAAGAGGAAGGACATTTTATGTTCACTCATCCAGATGAAAGGAAGACTAAAGAAAGCAAGTCAAAAGGAGAGTTAATGATTTATGCTGTCATTCGTGTGACCGCACCGAGACAGCCTTTGCCTGACGATGCATTCTGTGCGACTTGATCACTCCATCCGCTCATTTCGCCCGGATGAGCGGACTTATAATGCTTCCTTGCCCTTTGCTGTTTGCCACCTACCTCCCTACTCCAAAGGACAGCTGGGAGGGTGACGCTGAGTGACAATACCGCCAAGGTTTAGAGAACGCAATGAGTCGGGCACATTTTTGAATAATGGTCCCGCTGTGCCACCGATAACTTCATTTGCTCCAGAGTGAACACAGACGCAGAAAAAAAAGCATTGGAATTCACAATGATTCATAATATAACAAGGACACAGCAACGAGGAGTGAGGAGGAGGCGAGTGAATAATGATGTCAGCAGAGAGGACAGTTATTGTGAGTGAACGTACGAGAGTGAATGTGTGAAGGTTACCCTCTAAAGCCAAAACAACAGATCCCCTTGTTGTGTTTCTCTGGGCTGTCAAAGAATAACAAATATTTCTAATATAACCTCGTCTATTTTTGATTGGCAGAGCTGATTGAATTCCATTCAGAGCCGCTGTCATCCTGTCCTCATTTTAAACTCGCAGATCTCCCTCAGCGGGTAATCAAGCTCTTTCAAAACTGTTTGATGAAAGTAATTTGGCCAGATCATTCAGGATAACGCTGCATAAAGCAATCTATTAGCTCTCATAGCTCCAAGCAAGAAACAAACTGAACGATGTTCCCACTGAAAAGGGCAAAACACAGCCTGACAAAATACCACAGATTCTAATTCAAGTTCATAAGCCATTCTGGTATAGACTATAGCAACATTTCATTCAAATCTAAATATTAAAAAGCCCTACAGACAATTTGGATGATTATGACCCAAACTTCTGCATTGAAACCAATACAAAACATATAACATCTCAGCAATCGGGCTAAAACGTACATATTCATGAATCTGCCATCCATATTTGTCGATGTTTCTTTTTAGAGCAAATTATAAAACCTTTGTAAAAAAAGAAATGTCAGGCCAAAAGTCCAAAACCAAAAGATATTTACACATCATTTTATTAATTTATATACTTTAACAGCAAGACGACTGCAGCACATCCTCGCATTTGAAAAGCAGGAACCAGGCAATGTTGGGCATTTTAAATCCAAGCACGAAAGTGATTTATAAATTATCATGCTGAGGATTAATTTTGTACCATATCAGCATTACTCAAACTTTTGAAAAACAATATCTCAGTCACTCAGGGTAGTGCGCATATCTTGCTGCCAACACACTTTGTTATTCTGTAGACATTTTGGGATGTCAGCATGTACTGCAATTAGTTGAATCACGAAGGTGTAGCAAGCAATTAAGGGCTGCACTTCACTCACACCAAGAGCAGTGGATCCCAAGCTGCAGTGGCCAAGGGGCATGTGTGAAAAGCTCAACAAATGTTCTCCTTCCTCAACTAAGAATGTTGTGGTTGGGAAGGAAAATAAACAGAAATAAAGATGTTGGGATGCTGCCAGTTGTAACACTTCAACATTGAGAGGATATATTAAAGGGGTCCTTTTCTGCAGATTTTCAGGTTCATTTTTGTATTTTGTGCCTCTACTGGGAAGTGTCTCCATGCGTTATACATTTGTACAAACATAGACACTGCCTGCAAAGTTCCTCACCTGGAGATCTGAAGGTCCAGGCCTCGTCATCGTCAAAGTGTGTATCCCCAGCTGTGAACCTCTCCCCGGGGAAGAGAGGCCTGGACCTTCAGATCTCCAGGTGAGGAACTTTGCAGGCAGTGTCTNGAACTGTCAGGATGTCTCGTGAACGACTTTAAAGGCGTAATTATACGAACGGAACCCTTGTAATGTCAAACGTCGCACAATACCTACGAGAAAAGTAGACACTTATAGTCTTTACACCCAATATTACTGGTTCCTGGCATGAAATTAGAGTGACGTGTGTTTCTTCTTACGATACGAGATGACTCTTCATTTATCCTTTATGTGGAAACATAGGAGAAATGAAGCGTGTTAGTACGTACGATGAGAAGAACACGCAAAATATGAATCTAAATCTTAGTTACCCTTGTTCAGGAGTCTTCGACCGCGATGTCGAACGATATAGTCCGTGATAGAAAAATGAACTTAGAATCTAACTCGAACTAAAGTTTGAAACGCACGTTAAATAACTGTTCCTTTTTAACGCCAGGGCTCCGCGGACTTGGTCAACTTCTCGGTGACGCACATCTCTTACGGCTGCGTGAAAGTGATAGGTCCGCACAAAATACTACGCCGGTCGCCCTGACAGTATTTACACGCAGACGACGTACGCCCCTTTGTCATTTGAAATGTCAAAAGCATATGTCGTACTGTTGTCTGTGACAAAACATATTATTCTTGCTCTGATGACACTTATCGAGTAATTCATGAAGCCGTGCGCACGAGAACTACGACAACAAAGTACGAAATACTTTGACCTGTATGGCTCTTTGTATAGAAGTACTGTTTTCAACCCTTAACTTTATTTTTCCTCTCACTATTGAATACCGAGCAGTGGGGAGAGGGAGACAGGGTGTATTATGTTTTACTGGGTTATGACATGCACTACTAAACATAATTGACTTCTAGATTTAGTTATGATTTCCACAAATACATAATATTTGCAATTAGGACACATTGATACATAAGTGACACATGCTAGTGGTAAGTTTATAATACATAATTTCCTTAGTTGCGGGTCTGTCTGAGTCATGTTCTGACTACTTTAACTGCAAATCAAACTAGTAAGTCAATTTTTAGATTGCGCAGAGTATTTATTTTTCGCCAAATATCAAAACTAGAATTATGACTTCTTCAAGTTTTGTGCGTGTTATATCTCTCTAATCATCAATATATTCTTGTATTGTTTATTCTTTACCCCGAACTCAAAAGAAAATTTATTTTATTTTAAGGAAACTGGGTAGTTACCCCGGCCCCCTCTCCTTTTTTTAAATTTTTTTTTTTATTTTCTATTAACAACACTCCCCCATTTCCGTAAACACCCCCGGTATTTCTTGTAAAATTTGGGATCAAAACCCACCCCGGGGAGGTAACACCAACAAGCAAAACAAAAAATCCCCCCCGAAAAAAAAAAACTCCCCCCGTTCTACAATCGGAGTGGTCGCAAACATCTTTCTTTTTTTTGGCGAAGTTTTACAAAATCACCCCCCTTTCCCCGTAAATTAACAAAATATATTTTTATCTTCCACATGGCAAGGGAAAATCAAAAATGGAAATCCCCTTTTCACCTTAACCAACCATTTTTTGTTATCTTTTTAGAACAAAAGATAAATTCCGTTTTTCCTCCTTTTTTTATTATATCAAAAAATGGATAAATTTTATATACACCTATTTTTCACTTTTTATTTTATATATTTTGACGAAAAGTAATTAAAAACACCACGAGATTTATAAGACTTTTCTTTTTTTTCCCAAAAAAGGGGGGTTATATAAATTTTTTGGATTTTCACCAAACCTTTTTCCAGCACCGCACATACACCCCCCCCCCCTCACCCAAAAACCCCCCGAACCCACAGAAACACAAACATCAAAACATATGATACATTTCTGAGCCCATATACACCTTCCCCCCCCAAATACTATAAACACTTTTGAAATTGATATACCCATACCTCCCCGGGTTTCCTCTATATTCTTCCTTATCTTTTCTTTGAGGCTACTGGGTTCATTGTTCTAACTTATTTATATACACCCCACAACAAACCCCAAAAACCCCAGACGAATTTTTTTTAAACCCACAAAAAAAGATACAGTTTTAAAACAGAGGCTTAGCCCCAAAAAAGAACTAGGGAAACATATAAGAGGATTAATATTCCCCTTTACCAAACACCCAATTTTTCCCCCCACCCCCCACCGGTAAACTACCCATAAAAACTTAAACTTAACAACTATTTACCCCCCCCCAAATTAAAAGTAAAAAAGTTAAAAAAACATTAAAAGTAGAGATTTAAAAACATCCTTATTTTTTTCATTTAATTACTATAACCCTATGAACCCCCCGTAAAAATGCTCCATATTATACCCGAAGACCTCAGGACGCGGGGTTCCCGGTTCTAAAAATCCCAACTACAAATGACTACACGGCTCACCTGTGGAGTAACTACAAGGCTAGAAGCATACAAAAACTAAAAGTTGCATACAATGATGCTACGGTTGCTGCTGAGGGTACCAAGATGACACAGTGCCAGCCAGCTGTTTGTTCACTTGGGGGTACCTACTTGTCAAGCCCTTTTAAGAAAGTTAACGTACAAATTCATGTGTCGCCGAGAAGACTCGGACAATCATGTTATCTCGATTTTAATTAACCCTGTGAAGAGTTCTACTCGGTTCTCTTCCATGATTTGGAGACATTGGCGCAATAGCCTATACAGACAGTGAGCATGTGTGGCTAGCTGTGATTGGATTGATTTTATGTTTTTATCTGTTTGTTTTTATCTGTTTTGTGTTTTTATCTTATTTATTGATGTGTGTCTTGTCTTTTTGTATGTGATATGGACCTTGAGTCTGAAATAAAGATTGAATACGCTTTTCAGCATACAATATTAATTAAAGTGAAGTACAGTGCATATCCCTTATATCCCTTCACAGAACTAAAGTATGCTTTTAAAAGGTTTAATGAGATGATGGAATCAAAGCTGAACTGTATAATATAAAAAGGCACAAATGCTGAAAACTCAACCGCAGAAGGGGGGTCTGGGGATTCTCCCCCAGGAGATTTTTAGAAATACTAACTTATAAACTACGCAAATCTATTACTACCCGACATATTAATAATATTTCATGCCATTGTTTCTTTTTCACTTTGTTCTGTCAGCTGAACTTGTCTGTGTGAATTACTTTAAATTGTGGGTAGGGTAGCCCCCATTGTTCTGTGACCTGTCAATCATCAAACCGGGGGTCATATTTCATTAGGTGTTAATTTGTATCTGAAGTTGTACCCATGGATGTATAAAGAATAGTTCTACCGCAAAGTTATTCTCCGTGGGGACTTCCGGCAACAATCTTGATTCTGATTGGCCAGAAGACTCGAAAAAACATCAGCAAAGTTTTTATTGAGAAGATGATCACTACGTGACAGAAGTCTTCAAAACCGTTTATGGTCTCCGGTACTTCCAGTCCAACGCCTACTGCATGCACAGCGTTAGAAAATCGGGTTTTCAAAATAAAAGTTTGACTTTTTTCCAAAGAAAATAAAGATATATTTTGTTTTTTCAACTTTTGTTTTTCTTCACTCACACATCTGTGACCCACTCGAAACGGGTCCGCGAACGACTTTTGGGTCGCCACCCACCAGTTGAGAACCACTGCTCTAAAATACCGCAGTCTTCTCTCCTAAATCCTTTTGAATTATCCTATCCACTATTCCTTAACTCCGTTGCGTTTCACACAGAGGTCAAGGGATAGGGATAGACGTTAGGAGCTGATTTTTGGACCATTCGACCGCAGCCCTGGGCTCTGGCCTAATCCTCCCGGCCTCAGGGATTTATTCCGGTGTGAACGCGATCTGCTCCGGGAACTAAAGAGTTCTGATGAACTAAGTACTGGGAACTAAGTACGGCAAAGTAGGCTACTTGGTGTGTAGCGCCTATAACACTTGAATATGTGATAATGATGAGCAAACAGTCGAGATAGCAGTTTGAATTATGAACCAGTGGTTAAATACGTGGTCACCACAATGTATAACATAACCTGGACCATGAGCATAAAAAAGATAATAAAATGTTTATTATCTGTATCTGCTTCTGTAATTCCTGTTATGCATTGCTGGCATAAAATAACATAAAACATGAAGCTGCTGGTCCAACACTTGGATTCCCTCCAAGGTAGGGCTATGTCAAACCCACTCAACGCTGACATATTTTGTCATGCAACAATGATGAGCAACACGGACAAATAGCCTAGTTTTACGACTTTTAGTCTGGACCCTTGAGTCTCTCAAATTACGTAGGAGGCGCGTCATGAATTCAGTTTGAAGTGTGCTAAGAAGGCGCTGAACTCCCCTCCCTCCCTCCCTCCCTCCTTCTCCCTGAATCCTCCGGGCCAAATACTCATTCACTCTCAGTGCGTGTGCGTCTGCTCGGGACAAAACCGCACGCAGCTGCTTTCATTACCAGAGCTGGAGCCTCCGCGAGCAGAAAAGGGAGCTCGCGCCACTTGCTGCAGGGATATCACCTCAGATGGACTTGATATAAGACAAGAATACACATTTTCGATCTGATAATGAACACGTAGGTGGTAGTTACAAGTGCCGTTTTGTGGAGAAAAAACTTAGCCTTACAGCCAGCGGTGTTTTAATGTGTTTCATGTGTTTGCGCTCAACAGTGAGGTAGACCTTAATCGAGCACATTTTTACAGGAGTATTGGCGTGAGATTTATCCGGTGGATGCAGCTGTCGGGGTGGGTGTCTGAGCCCTGCAGGAGCAGCCTGTCATACTCATAGGGCAGCATGGTTTCTCTGGTGCTTCACAAGTGGATGAGGAATATTTCTCCGGAGATGCTTCTGTTGGTGCCTATTTTGTGGTTTTTACCTCTGACTGGAGCGGCTCCTTCTCTGACTAACGAGCAGCTGGACACCGGGGTGGTAAGTTCTCTACATTTTCTATGAAGTTTTGCTAGTTATTACGACTTTTGGACACGGTGGGACTGGAAGTGTTTTTGCTTAATATCACTACTAGAAACATGCCGTTTAATGTTGTGTTTTTTAACCAAAGTCCTCTCTTTGAATGGGCAGTTTTACCCTACTTTTATAGGCAGAACACTCTCCATACTTGATCTGAATGTTAACACCTCGCAGCAGTCCTCAGCACGGGGGCAAGCTTGATGCAGGCTGGATGTGATGGAAAATGAAATAGGAGCCTGTTCTGCAAAGCAGATCCCTGTAATGGCCTGCAATAAATACATGTAAATGTAATTTGTCTTGGTGGAATATCGACCTCCTCCACTGCATGCTGACATAGTATCCTGCACTGATGAATGGCAGACGGGGCTCACTTCCAACACAGTGAGTGACACACCAAGCCATAAGACCTTATTGGATATTTCCTCTTCCCAGTGACACCTCTCAAAGACTGACCCAATATGTCACCTTGTGCCAATTTTAAACAATTACTGGGTTTAAAATATACACTTAAATCAGATGTGATGATGCAAAAGATCCTCCTAAACCAATTCAACAAAACAGCCACCTGATTGACAGTTAACATCTTAAGGCTATGAGCTGCATATCAAAAAGTTGTATTTAATGATAGCTGTGAAACTAAGGTGCAAACCAATACATCTCTTTTATGAATACTCTTCTAATTATTTTTGAAAGGATGTTTTATGATTATTAATTAGACCCACTGTAAGCCTTCCAATGAGCTGAGCAAATTAAAGCTATTATATCATATTTCGAACGATAGGTTAGACCCAACATAAACTTCAGCTTTGTGGTTGGAGTGTATTGAGCTGTAGATGAAACAAGTTTCTGCAAATGATTAAATCTTTGAAAGCAGCATAATTAATGCTTTGTTTAAATGGCTCTAATATCTATATTTCTCATTTGCATCGTTTTATTCATGTCTGCTGCTGCCAACTTCTGTCTTGTGTCAGTGTCAGGTGCACTGCATCTTTGCTCTTTCTTTTTAACAGAAGCTTGAGGATGAACCCTTTACTTAGGCATGAAGTATGTCTATTGATGTACCACATCCACTAACTACCTTTTTGTATGTGTGCTACAAGAAGTCAACTTCATGTTCTTATTCTTAGATACCCTTAGCTGCAGACATGAATCTTCCCTTATATCAACAACATGGTTGAGGACAACCACACAGGGTCTTATCATTACATGTTTCCTTGTAGTTATGTTGGGCAGGCTATCCTTAAAGCTGCCTTGATGCTATATTATCCATGCAATGTTTGAGTGTGTGTGAGCACTGAGCAAACATTTGGCTTCTAACACATACAGCAAAAAACAGAGCAATATGATCATCACTAGAGTCCCTTTTCTCACCACACATCCAGTGTGCAAAGCTCACTGGAGTGTTGTTCCTCTTTTGGTTTATCAGCAACTATTGAGAAGTCTATCTGTGTTTATTGTTCTTGAGGTATTGGCTCTGCTGATAAGCTTTGTGTTTAATTATGCCCTTCTTCAAATTGTGGTGCATGACTGTTTGTATGAGCTGTGTGCTAAGAGCAGCTGCCCACATCTTCTTTTAAGAACCTACAAATCAAAACAAATGTTAAGTAGGGTGCGGAATCTATATTCTAAATAATATTGGCAGCACAAACAAATATTTTACATAATTACTTCATCCAAGTATAGGTCTGGATTTGTCACCTATGTACTGTAGATTTTAAGTACCATTTAATGTCTGAGCATTCACAATAGAAGTAGGGTTGCGACAAATGCTCATTGCCTTTTCTTATTAATCTGTGAATTATTTTCATGATTGAATGGGTTTACGTCCATTCATTCTAAGAAAATAACAGGAAAGTGCCACTCACAGTTTCCCAAAACCCTAGCTAGGTTTTACTTCCTTTGACTCGTGTGTTTTCATCAAAAGCCACAATGACAGTGAATGGCATTGTACACCTGAGTGTAATAACTGGTCTTGTTAACAAAGGCAGACACAGTTTTTTCTTAGGTTATTGGTTTGGTGTGGAGGGATATCAGGGTTACCTAGGGAGCTGGACTGACAGATGTACAGATGAGCACTCGTACAAAGACACAGTCCCCCCCTGCGACCGTCTGATTGACATTTAAATAAGACTTCCCCTGCATTGATGCGATTGCTCTCAGCTGTTGGGAGCGGTTGGATAATTGGTTGTTGAGGTTTTAAGTGGGTTCTCCTATCTCGGCCCAGTTGTGTTCATAAGTGCTATACATCTGGGACCCGGTCCCGCAAGAACAACCATCTACCCACAGAGCCGTGTCCTGATCTCCAGCTCTGCTGCTCCCCAGCCCCATTTCACTTCAGAGCCACTGTGCAGCATCACTTGGCTTTTAGTCGTGCTCGAGTGCCAAAAGAATCCCTCTCTACTTGTAAATACTATACACTGCGACCGTAATTAGCTGAACCACAAACTTAAGCACAGCTCTGAGGCATCCAGCTTCTAGATTTGCTGTTATCTAACCCGATATATAACTGCAGACAACTAATTTGCTATTTCAGCATTTTGGGAAACTGCTACATAAAAGCCATAATGAAATCTGCATGTTTTGCTCATCATATCCATTTACTCCTGATGGCTGTATTTTTGCAGTAAACTAGCACGACAGAGCTCCTTATGGGGATATACGGAAGCATTGCTTTCCTTACTTTAGCAGCTGTCATAAGAGTGAGGTGACCAGATCAGCTGCTGATAAAAGTCCCTTTTTTGAATACTATTAATCCTGTAGAGACCGACCTTAAAGCCCCTGTCACACTGTCCCGAAATTGACACCCGATGGACACACGAATATGGAATTGTGAATTTCGCACGAAGATGCCCCGAACCACACACGAAGGCAACATTTACATTACATTTAAGACATACAACTGCAACGAAAGTAACAAAAACTATTATGTTAAAGTACTATGATACTGTACTGATATTTTCAGACTTTGTTCTTTACTTTATCCGTCTTTATATGTAGAAGATATTATGTTTTCTCCGTAATGTTGTTTCCATAGCAACAACAACCTCCTGTCAACTCGCCTTCAAAATGATATATTATATCCTTTTCAGTTTCACAGAACACAAATTGGGTTATTTACATAATATGTTTACATGATTTTGTTGTGCAATAAAACAACCCGATGGACACACGATAAAGTAAAAGTTCAAATTCAGCTCTGATCGTAACAACATCGGGACATTCATGAGGGCATCTTAAGCCATCGTATGACCGCCGGTGGAGTTTCTTATGGCTCCGGCAGCAACTTCGTGAGCGGTGGCACATGTCACATAAGCATGTCTGTCTGGCCAGGATTTAATCTTTTTCAGTAAGGAACAGTATTGTAGGGTTGTAAATCACAAGTTTCACCACAACACCATATCACAATGAACATATTGATTATTTTACGATCAATATTAGATGATATCATATGCCCGTCTAAGACAATTTATGACTGGGCTTTTCCAGACATTTAAATGAACCACTCTTTTAAATAAACAGACCTGTTGTTCTATGCAAACACATTTCACTTTAATCAGCAGCAGACCAGACATATCTATCTTAGTCGAGTTATAGCATTTATTCATCAACAAATAAACTCAACTGTGGGCACGCCTCACTGTTACACACAGCTGTAATGTCACTGCTAGTTCCATCTATAATCCCTCTGACCATTGATCAAAAACTCGACAAACAGGCGATTTGTATCAATGTTTTCACCTCGAATCGATTATATTGGCTCGTTGATCATTGAATCAATACATTGCTGGATAGGTGTACACCAAATGAATTGTAGGAAATAAACAGAAAATGAGTTGTGTGCCTGATGGGACCACCACACCCTGCCAGTCTGCTTCTGATTCCCATTCTGCTTTATGATTTCTTCAATGGGAATACCATCTGCTCTTGCATCCAGGGAATAGAAGAGAGAGAGAGAGAGAGAGAGAGAGAGAGAAGGAAAAAAAAAGCCTGGTAGACGCCACCCTCCTCCGCCTCCTCCCACCAACAGTCCCACTTGTTATCCCTACCCGCTAGACCTCATAACACTGAGTTCTCATGCAACGAGCCTGCCCGGCACCAGTACCACCGCCCCTCATTAGCTTTTTCTTTGTGCATTTCACCAGTATCATATTCTGTCCCCTCAGTCCTTCAGTCTCCTTTCTTCAGCTTTTCTTCTTCCAATCCAGATAGAAGGCTTTTTCCTATTGGAACATCATGGGTTCTTCTGATTACACCCAGAGGCCCAGAGGTGGAGGGGGGGTCAAAAAGAAAATGGGACGCTGTGCCAGTCAAGGGAGAGTGCAATGGAGGAATTTCCTTGCTTAAATAAGTTATGAACGAGGCAGGGTCTCAAAAGGAAACCCATTAAATAATAAAAGGAAGATAATATATATCATCATTGGGGTCACTTTTTCTTGAATATGTAAGGAGAGTTCACTTTGTAAGTAGGTAGCTGCTGTCGATGACTAACGCATGAGGATGAGTACGAGCAAATAATGGAACAAGTAAAAGGGAAAAACTCTTAATAAGTCACACAGTATGCTACTTCCCTTGTATTTGTCTTCCTTGCCGTGTCATCCCAGATCATTAGGACACTTTTAGCACCGATGTCCCACTTCCACCAAGCTGTGTGACCTTTCTTCCTGTAGCGCCATATCATGATTATATCCAGGGCAAGGACCCTTTTTTCCCATGGATCGTCAAGTGGGAGATGGAATATGTCATGTCGCAATGATTGACACAGGAGACAGTTCAGCGTGTAATATGTAGCACATTCACAGCTTCTCAGGAAGAGGGAGTACTGGGAAGCAAACCAGTCCTTCAATCCACTCCAATCCAATCTGTCATCACAGCTTTGCTAAGTGTTACAGTTCTCCAGGGAGTTGCACATTTCTGAGGAGATGTCAAGAGTTTATAATGTCCTCAGAGGCCATGGCAGTGAG